TGGGGAGCTTCCTTTGAAGTCGTAGTGCATCTGCCTGAGAGGCAAGGAACCAGCAGTCTGCATTCAATTGAATCAGATCTGTAAAACTGATGCACACGCAACACTCAGGTTCTGGAACAGGACTGCAGTCCAGAAGTGGACGAACAACCAGAACCTTACACCAGAGTTTACAGCTGGTGAACGCGAAGAAGAAGAAGAAGTTGTAGTAGAGAGATGATTCACCCTTGAGAAATAAAATTAGTTTTCCTTCTTATGCTATGCTTGAAATATCCTATTCGCTAACATGTTTAGTGTATATATTAGTCAAACTGAGTCATTGTTATCTTGTTGAGCTGTGTGTGTATACATCACACAGAATGTGCAGTCTTTTCCTCCACTCCAATCTATCCTACACAGAATATTCAATATCTTGTGTGTATTAGATGATGTTTGTTACTAGCAGAAAGTGAGCAGGATTTGATGATGACCCCACCAGGACATCACAATGGTGATAAACACCCGGTGACACACGGTGCCACCATTCAAATGAGATTCACCCGGGGAAAGGTCTTAGAAACCCTGTTCAGCCCAACGGTTGGGTTATTTTAGGGCCCCCGGAAACAGCCAGGGTTGGGCTTTAAAACAACATTAAAAATTGTGTCCGACATTGGAACATATGAATCTATGAGCAGGAGTTAGAGGACCTGGTGGGTGAAGTCAACAGGCTGAGTACAGAATATGATCTTAGACATTAAAACTCAGAAAACAAATACTGCGATAATTAACAATTGAGAAGAGCTATCAGAAGTCAACAACACAGTAAATGAAGAGATAATAGCACAAGTAACAGTTTTCTCCTATCTCGGACTCATAATAAAAGATTAAATCAGAAGTTAAACATTTTTTAATTAAAAGGGAATAGGAATGGTTAAAACTATCTAAATCCATCTAACTACCTACATATATAAACCCATCTAACTACCTACATATCTAAACCGATCTAACTACCTACATATCTAAACCCATCTAATTACCTACAAATCTAAAACCATCTAGCTACCTACATATCTAAACCCATCTAATTACCTACAAATCTAAACCCATCTAACTACCTACATATCTAAACCCATCTAATTACCTACATATCTAAACCCATCTAACTACCTACATATCTAAACCCATCTAATTACCTACATATCTAAACTCATCTAACTACCTACATATCTAAACTCATCTAATTACCTGCATATCTAAACTCATCTAACTACCTACAAATCTAAACCCATCTAACTACCTACATATCTAAACCCATCTAATTACCTACATATCTAAACTCATCTAACTACCTACATATCTAAACTCATCTAACCACTTACATATCTAAACTCATCTAACTACCTACATATCTAAACTCATCTAACTACCTACATATCTAAACTCATCTAATTACCTACACATCTAAACTCATCTAACCACCTACATATCTAAACTCATCTAACTACCTACATATCTAAACTCATCTAACCACCTACATATCTAAACTCATCTAACTACCTACATATCTAAACTCATCTAACCACCTACATATCTAAACTCACCTAATTACCTACATATCTCAACTCATCTAACCACCTACATATCTAAACTCATCTAATTACCTACATATCTCAACTCATTTAATTACCTACATATCTAAACCCATCTTCCTACATACCTAAACCCATCTAACTACCTACAAATCTAAACCCATCTAACTACCTGCATATTTAAACTTATTTAACTACCTACATATCTAAACCCATCTAACTACCTGCATATCTAAACTCATCTAACTACCTACATATCTAAACCCATCTAACTACCTGCATATCTAAACTCATCTAACTACCTACATATCTAAACCCATCTAACTACCTGCATATCTAAACCCATCTAACTACCTACATAAACTCATCTACCTACCTACATAATGTCAGTCTACCTAACTATCCATTAACAACCAATCTTCTAACACCTATCTACCCACCTACCCAGTATTAGATCATATCCCACATCATTTGTGACTAAGAATTAGATGATGATGTATATTATTTGTATGCTAAGTGATATATGTGGTGTATGAATGGAATAATGTGTGCAAGGAGTCAGGCCAAAAGGGCAGAATTTAAGATGGGCCTGCGTGCCCAATCCTGAGCCTTTTGAAAATTTAAGTTTTGTTTATTCAGTAAGCTGTGAAAATTATTGACAGCTAGAGAGGTAACTACACATTAAAAATAAGAATTGTCAGTGTTGTGTAAATTCAAACCTGACCTATGGTGCAGAAACTTGGACCATCCCCTGTTGCCGGGGAAGAGAAAGAATAAACCAACTGCCTGCGTTAGGGATTTGCTAAAGTCAGAGGAGCAAGATATTGCAGCAAGCTGTAAACCACAACACTATGTGTAGACCACCCTTTTAAGGGTGAACGGTGAAGAAACAACATATTCTTTGTGCTGTATCTGGACAAATCAAACCCACCAACACACCCAGTGCAAACAACATAGTGATTTTGTGATGCCGTTATTCTAAGAACCAGTAATCATATAAAAACCATCTTATTAGTCACATTTCTCTCCTTTGATTGTAGTTGCTTCCCCTGCCACTGTAATACCCTGTGCCCTTTTCATGTCTTTTTCTCTCCCCCCCCCCCCCCCCCCCCCCCCCCCCCCCCCCCCCCCCCCGCCCTCCCCCCCCCCCCCCCCAGCAAGACATTACAACCAGGGGCTAGATAATAGCATCTTTGATAGGATTCACCATAAGAGCTTGTTGGGGACAATGGGTGAAGGAGAGAAAGTGAGGGTGGGGGGGGGGGGGGGGGGTAGTCTGTCATGGTGGCAGACGCAGTAGATGAGGAGGAGAGTGGGAGGGAAACATTGTGTCTGGAAGTAATGGTTATTTGTGAGCTGTCAGAACACAGTGGCTGGGTTGTTTTGCTCTGTCTGACTCTCTTGTCTCTATTTACTTCTGTCTCTCTCTTGTGTGCTCTATCTCTGTCTCAGTCCCTCCCTCCCTTCCTCACTATCTTCATACCTCCCTCTCCCTCAGTCTCTCCTTCCCTCTCTGTCTTCTGTTTCACTATCTTTCCTCTTCCTCACTATATCTCAGAACACAGAAGTATTGGCCACAAGACTAAGTTTTTTTTCTGATATTAGAATATATCCTCATGAGGATTGTATCACACTTTTTACATGTTTGAAAGTATTTCTACCACCTGGACAATTGCTTATTGTACTGTCCGTTACAATTCTGGCTCTTATGCTTTATTAACTCTTTGAGTCCCAGGGGGTTTAGCATCAGAGCCCAAGGGGTAGTCAAGAGAGATGTAAAATTGGTGCATCTTGCGTTCATTGGGCCTCTAGACGGGAACCTGTGAACGTACTATGATGCGTTCCTTGGGACTCAAAGAGTTAAAAAACACATTGAAAAAAAATTTAGTTTCATTGTAAAAAAAAAAAGTTGTTGAATTAGATGCTATAACAGAAGAGCTCTTCTCTCTTTCTTTACCCATCTCTTTTTCATTCTATCACTGTCATCTAATTATGATGGCTAACCTGATTGTGAAAACACCTGCTTAAAAAAGAGCTGTAATTCATAATTAGTCCTGGATTGTGATAAAAATGTTAGCAAGCTTCAGATGGAGAATTATTTTAAATAGTTTAAGAAAAATTTGGGCAATTCAAAGGCTTTAAATTGAGAACATTCCTTGTTAAATTTGAAGTTCATTATCATGCTTTGTGCACATTCGTTTAACAGTTCAATATGGACACTGAAAGAATCATGTACATTAAAATATACAAGAAAATTGGCTTGACGGCTTAATGCTAATTTTTTTTGTGTAATGGGATTCAGAAACATTAGCAACATGGAGTCTCCATCAGCAGCTAGTATTTCAATTTGAATAATTTTTTTGTCAGCTGAAGCATTTTACATGATGTGGGAGGAGAGGGAATTGAGACCTATAACACATATAGCTTCTTATCCTCTTTCTCCTTCTCCTTTTTCTCTTCCTCCTTATTCACCTCCTCCTCCTTATTCTTCTACATCTCCCCTTTCTCCTTCTCCTCCTCCTTTTTCCTCCTCCTCCTCCTAATTTTTCTACATCTCCCCTTTCTCCTTCTCCTCCTCATTCTCCTCCTCCTTATTCTTCTACATCTCCCCTTCCTTCTCCTCCTCCTTCTCGTTCTCCACCTCTAGCTCCCTAACGAATAGTTAGGCTGATGTAAGAATCCTCAATATGCTCTTTATGATGCATTGCACATGTTATCTTCATTTCTTTAAAGCTGTTCTTGACACCATTGTTCCATAGTTTGCTTGGTCTTCCCCTTGCTCTGTATTTTTTAGATTTCTTCAGCATGGCTCTCTGTGGCAGTTGATGGTACTAGGGCATTCTTATGTGATGGCCAAACCATCTCATTTGTTGTTCTTTAATGAACTGTATGATTGATGTCAGCCCAAGTCTTCTTCTATTTCCTTCATTATTAATTGTATCACTTATTGTTAGTCTGACCACTCTTCTAAAATATCTTGCGTCTGTTGCACTCATTAGTTGTTGCAAGGGTCCATGTAAGACAGGTGTATCAATACATATTCCTTCTGATGTAAATTTCTGTGTCCTTTGTCGACAGCTGAGACAAACAACCATGAGTAGTAATGTTGTGGGTATTGTTTTATTTAGCAGTCTTGTGTCTTTTGGCCACAGCTGAGACAAACTAAAAGTCTTTTGTCCACATCTGAGACAAACTACCAATAGTAGTAATGTTGCAAATATTATTTTGTTTACTATTATGTGTGTTTTGTCTACAGCGGAGACAAACTACCACCCTCCACAAGACACTGATAGACCTGACAACTGGCACAACAGCTCCGAGGAGGATGACTATGTAGAGGATAATGCTGATGATGACAATGATGACAACAGCAATGAGGTTGTTGATGAGGATAATCAGGAAGTTAATCTATATACGATCTACCTGCAAGAAAAGGAGTTCCCTCATAAGTATAACAATGAGCATAAGAAGTTCCTAGCAGCCAAGGAGAGGATGAAGAAAGATCAGCAGCTTAAGATTACTAAGGTAGGACTTATTATAGTAATCTGTTTAGATTAGTCACCGTTTAGATTAGTCACTGTTTAGATTAGTGGCTGTTTAGTCGCTGTTTAGATTTGTGGCTATTCAGATTAATAGCTGTTTAGATTAATGGTTGTTCAGATTAATGGCTGTTTAGATTAGTCGCTGTTTTGATTAGTCGCCATTTAAATTAGTCGCTGTTTATAATAGTGGCTGTTTAGTCAGTTTAGATTAGTGGCTGTTTAGATTAATGGCTGTTTAGATTAGTAGCTGTTCAGATTAATGGCTATTTAGTTTAGTGGCTGTTCAGAATAATGGCTGTTTAGAGGAGTGGCTGTTTAGAATAGTCGCTGTTTAGATTAGCGACTGTTTCAACTAGTGACTGTTTTGACTAGTCACTGTTTTGATTAGTCGCTGTTTAGATTAGTCACTGTTTAGATTGGTTACTGTTTAGAATAGTCACATCTATTTACACTTTATAATATCTAATTTTCCCATGTGGTTTCTGAGCTCCCATTTTGGGGGCGAGAAAAAACAAAGACACACTGCCCCTATCAGACACCTTTTTATAGGTGTGACAGAGGTACCGTTGTTATCTGTGTTTGTAGGCCCGTGTCTCCGTTAACATGTAAACACTGATTACATAGGGTTTTCAATTCTCAGAGAATATTTATTTAAGTACTCATAATAATTGCAAAGTTAGTTTGGCTTCCACACAAAGTTATCGACTACTGAGTAGCCACCCATTTATTCTTGTAGCTCACATGCACACTAATCCCAGGTAGTCACTGGCTAAGTTTATTAACAGTACGCTGGTGTACTGTTCACAAATCACACTAGCAAAATGAATAAAGTCATGAGGGGCTAGCGGATGTGTCTGGGTAATAATTACATATCATCCTGGCTACCACAACTAACTTTATAATTCCGGCTACACAAAAGAAACACTTATCACAAGTATGAACAACTACCACTGTCCTCTCCACAGCTTTAGATCCAGTCCGTGCCAAGCGAAAACAATTCCCACATTTCAGGGGTACCAAACAGACACATCTGTTGACTGGACTGTGTAGCTACCAACTGCTGTGTGTTGGTCTACCCATTTGTCATGTCCCCTTGTAAACTCCGCTCACCCATAACACTCAGTTACCCTTATAGCTCTGCCGATCGTGTCTACAAACAGCCTGTCTGCCCAGTAATTGACCTATCTGCTTTTATGAGTCAAAGTCTAGTCGTTGTCGTTTGTCTTTCTCTCACTGCGTGTTGGTAAAGTTGACTCATGACAGCCCTCTAACAAGTATGTTATGTTGTAAAAGGTCAGAGATCCTCTGCCTGAGAGTTGAGAAATCAGCTGTGTGCATAGAAATGAGCTGGATCTGTAAAACGGATGTACATGCAAAACTCAATTTCTGGAACAGGACCAAAGTCTAGAATTGGACTAACAACTAGAACTTTCCTCTGGAATTTACAGCTAATAAACACTCATAACAGAATGCATGGTACCTGGAAGGAGGAGCAGAGGCCTACCAACACGAAGATGGACAGAGGATATAAGCGAGTCCTTGAATATGAAAGTACACGAGGCAGTAGACCTGGTGAGAGACCGCGTTTGTTTCAGGCAGACCGTGATGACTGCGAAGGACCTGCTGCATGACGATGATGAATACTAAGAAGAGGAGAGGAGAAGAACACATCTCCTTTGTCATCTAGTGTCGTCTCCGAATCAAAGGTTGGCTGTAACAGAATTTGTTGACCACTTGATGTTTTATTAAGCAATTTTCAGTTCTGTATTTTTGCCTTTTCTCACTAAACTGTGGATAGTTAACAGTCACACAATTGTCAAAGCCAGCTCCAAAAAGTCTGCTGCTGATTGGCCATAGTTGAATCAGACATGTCTGTCGGAATTACAGAAGCGTGTGTAACCCATAAACCACAGATGCTGACAATCTCAAAAGAAAAACATGTCGGTCTGAATAGTGGGCAGGAAGCCGTTAAGATTAAGAAGTAAATGCTCATAAATTGTTTCCTGATAATATTATGTGATGGTTTTCTCCTTACTTCTACATTTGATGTAATATATTTATCTGCTTTAGTCTATCAGTGGTATGTAGACAACAATTTGCCAGGACAGTATTTGTGGTGTGGCCGGTGAATAAATTAAAATACAAATTTTAAAACTAGAATACTCCTTATGTTGGTTTCAGAGCCTCGTTGGAAAAAGAGGGGAGGTGAAAGGGGTAGGGGGGGGGGAGTGTTAATAGACTGGCTATCCCTCAACAAGCATGTACTAATTAAAAAAAACCAGCAAATTAAATGTATGTCAGACTTAGACTTACAGGCCAGCAGTAAATCACAACAAAAAATGACAATCACCCTGTTCAGGGCTAGCACAGAAGAAGGAGAAAAGGAGCATTTCACCACGTGAAAACTCTGAGAGGGAGACCATGCTTCAGACATGACAGACACAAAAATTAACAAGATAACCTTTCACCTTGAAAGAACAGCTGGAAATGATACTGGAAATGAATGGATAAACTTTGGAGATACAAAACTGTAGCTGATGTGTGTTTCTCACATTTCTCATTAACAGCTCCTGCAGGAGTGGCAGGCAGCCCGTGATCACGTGAATGAGGTGAGGAAATCTGACACTAAGACAGCTAACAGCATGGCCAAGGAAATCACTGAGGTAATTTGTCTGTGTGTTTATGTACATTGTGCACACCTTGTATCATTGCTGTCTGTCTCTTTTTGCTGTGTGTGTCTGCCAGAATCAAGATAACAAGAGAATCATAGAACTTGCACTAATGTTTGTCTGGCACAGTAGCTTATATTGCTTCACTTGACACCTTGTCCATTTCTTTAATGGATGGTTTGTTGCATTTCTTTTGTTGTAACTGAAAATGAAACACAACTGGATATAATTATAACGGAAAGTGAAAACAAGGGTCTTAGTTTGAACAGCAGAAAAACAGAAGCAATGGTAGTTACAAAGTAAACTCTGGGGTCATGTCGGGTTCGATCCCAGCTGCAGACCATTTGTCTTGCTTTGATTTCAACAGTGGTACCGAGAGCTAACATTCAGAAAGCAGTGGCAAATTATTGAATGGAACAGAAAAACCGCAACAGCAAAAATTGCTGGAGTTAGTTCTGCAACGTCCTAGAAAGGATACACAACTAGCTTGACAGTCTAACATCCTCTTTCTAGTGAATCCTCTCTCTCTCTCTCTCTCTCTCTCTCTCTCTCTGTCTGTCTGTCTGTCTCTCTCTCTCTCTGTCTCTCTCTCTCTCTCTCTCTCTCTCTCTCTCTCTCTCTCTGTGTGTGTGTGCGTGCGGGCGGGTGGGTGGGAGGGAGGGGTGGGAGGGAGAGAGAGATATGCTCCTCCAGTTTAAACTGTTGTCATAGTGGTTTTTATCTCTTGCATGTGGGACAAGATAAATCAAATGGAAGATATTGAAAACCCGTACCTGGAGAACATGAGGCAGCGGGGAATGTCTGCAGGATCTGGACCTACTCAAGATGTGAAGCAAAGGAAAGCTATGTAGTTAGATCAGATGATACTGGATACCACCAGTATGGAGACTCTTGGCTGGCTGTTGAAGAGGGAGACGGAGCTAACACAGGCTTGTCCTGGATGCTGTGATGTTGAATCTTTACTGAGATGAACCATAATGGGTGGCGACCTTGTCTTCCAAGACAGTGGTCCGGGTTTAGTCTTCAGTATTGTGTTCCATCACATTGTTCATATGGACAGAGCTTACCAGCGAAATCTGGCATTCCTCCTGGCCTCTTTCACCACTGCACATTTAGCTTCACCATCACTATGATGCTTTCGTACCTGGTCCTTTTTGGAACTCTCCAACTCCACACCTCTCTACTTTCCCCACCTGTGACCTTTCACATCCAGCATGTTCTCAATAGAGTGTGTCTACTGTTGTGCTAATCACCTCCTCTGCCAGGACACCCCCCCCCCCCCCCTTGCCCAATTACTGTTCTGGCTAAACCATTATAAAGTTTATCTTGTGCAGTACTGGAAGGCTTCATAGCAGTTGCCAGTGCAAAAGAAATAATGATGTTGAAAAATAATATGCTTCATTTCAAATTAGCAGTATACACACAGTGATCGTTACATTGGTGAAGGCGGATTTTTCTAATATGCTCTGACTAAATGTTAAAATTGAGAGAATGCATTATGTTTGGGGAGGGGGGGGGGATATCAAGGGGCAGAGTCACTTACAGACCAGGCATTATGTGGGACCTGGAAAGGTTAATATGACTGAAGTTTTTCAGTTTACAAGAAATGATACTGTTAATGAGCCAGTCTCTCTCGATTTTAAGAGGCATTTAGTCTAGTTAATATTAGTCACCCATTTATTATTACAAAAAACCAGTTCTAAATTTCATACAAACACAGCAAATTAAATGGTTTGTCCGCTGGGAGGGAATGCCTTGTGATGACACACAATACAAAGCATACAGTAAAAAAAAGGAGAAGGACATAGAGCGTGTGGTAGGCCAAGAACTAGGTGGAAAGGTAAGAGAAACTACAACAGCATGATGTGTCTATGGTCAAGACAGCCAGACAAATAAGAAGCTGGACCTTATGTCTCCCTCAACACATGAAGAAGTTAAAGAGGAAGTGACGAAGAAGTTTATCCTAGTTTTTCTCCCCTTTGGGCATTTTGTTGAACCATTTGGAGACGATGCAGCCGAAATATCGGCCCGACACAAAGTAGCCAAAAGGACGACTGGCCCGATCGGTCTGCCCTATGTAATGCAAGCCGTGAAATTGGCTGGCAGGTTTTCGTACCAGCCAATCAGATTGCTTCTCACATTTCTTGCACATGTGTGCTGTTCACTGAAGGCTTTCGAGAAAAGTTTGATGTGTCAGTAATTTTACAGAAATTTTTTTTCTCGTGCTACCTGTGCTAAAAAAAATAGCAAAAAGGACTGTTGCGTCAAAACATAGCTGGGGGCAGGAAAATGAGTAGAACCATGTGCCAGAAGTGTCTGAAGGGCCTCTAGGGGCCTTATTTTCCAAAACACATGTTAGGGCTTATTCAAGCTTCATCCATCAAACAAATTCACTCATATTTTATAGGTTAGTCATGTTTGTTCCTAAGTTTTAAAAAAAAAATGCTTGCAAAAATTATGTAAATCAGAATAGTTAATTTTAATAGATCTTGTGATTTTCCGTTTGATTCATAAATATTCTGTTAGCTCATTGAATTTCCTACACGAATATATAGTTTTATTAAATGCTTTAAAAAAAAAAAAATTGTTTTTTGTGTATAAACTATGAGAATCCCCTCCTGAAGGCTTTGTCTTTTTGGCACTGAAACTCCAAAAAGGCTCCCTCTCCAGAGGGTTAAAACCTTTTGGGACTGAAAGTTTAGTAATAATTTACTTTGGGTAGTGGTAAACACAGGACAGTATATTCAGTATTGATTTGCTTCTGCAGCGCTTCCAGAACCTGTATGCAGCATACGAACAGGAAGATGAAGCTGAGAAGGAGCAGTTGATCGCTCTACACCTGCAACATGTCCAGACAGGCTTGAACGAGAAGAAGAAAGAAGCAATGGACAAATATTTGAAAGCCTTGGATGAAGGAGATGTGAGCATTTAGTCATATTATCACGTAATCCCTATCATTATCACTGTCATCATTATCATTATTATCATCATCACAATCATTATTATTATCATCATTGTTATCATCATCTTCATTATCACCACCACCATCATCATTATCATTCACATGCATTGGCTCATGGTCTTCGGCTACCATTTGAATGCTTTATAAAGTTTACCGCTGATTGTTCACTTCACCAAACCTTCCAGCATTTTATATCTCTGCTGACCTGTGTGTGCATTAACCCTAGTTTTCCCACTTGTCACCATGTAATCCCTTTTCTTTCATGGACTTGACCAAACAATTGATTGTTGCTTTGCCTTTTTGTGGCTAATTCTTTGTCTTTATGAACTTATATTTTTACCTGAAATAGAATAGCAGTAACATCTCCAGAGGGCAATATCTCATGGTACAGTCCCATCTCTGTACATCCTTTGTCGCCACTCATCGGCATTGAGGTACACCATAACAGTCTACCACTGTCAGTCACCTGATTAGGCAAGATGTCCATCAGTAACATGTCCTACAGCATAACTGCTGTCTTAAATATCCCACCGTCAAAAGTCCTACTATTTATTTGGCAGAAAGGTTCAGATGTTTGTTACTGTTACTATTGGCCCCACTTGTCAGAGTGTCAGGACCAAACAAGGGAAAGCCATTCTTCTTCTTCTTCTGCCTTTCTATCCCCCAATGGAGCATAGGCCCTCGACCAACTCACGCCAAGTCGTTCTATCCTTCGCCATTGCATGGAGCTCTCCCCATGTCCTCCCAATCTTTCTAACCTCGTTCTCCAGCTCTCTTCTCCATGTGTTTTTTGGCCTTCCTTTATTCCTATGCCCCTGTGGGTTCCAATGCAAAGACATTCTAGTTATGCTGTTCTCCTGTTTTCTCAGTGTGTGCCCTATCCAACGCCAGCGTCTTTTCCTCACTTCCTGATCTACTGGAGCCTGTTTAGTTCTCTCCCAAAGTTCTACATTAGTTATTCTATCATACCATTTTATTCCCTCTATTCTGCGCAGGCACCAGTTAATGAATGTCTGTAATTTATTAGTAATTGCCTTGGTTGTTCTCCATGTTTCCGCCCCATACAATAGTACTGATTTGACATTAGAATAAAAAATTTTTAGTTTAGTATTTCTTTTAATTTCTTTTGACCTCCACAAATTCCCTAGTGCTATAAAAGCCCCTCTTGCCTTTTGTATTCTTATTTTAATATCTCTATCAGTTCCTCCATCTTTATCTACATTACTGCCTAAATAGGTGTACGACTCCACGTCTTGGAGTGGGGTGCCATTAAGAGAAACCACATTACTATTTGCCTGATTTATTCTCATTATCTTTGTCTTTCCTTTATGGATTTTCAGACCAAGCTGCTTTGATCTCGCATCAAGTATATTTAATTTATCTTGCATCTGATTCCGTGAATGGGACAGAAGAGCAATATCATCAGCGAAGTCCAGATCATCAAGCTGTTTTGTAGGGGTCCACTGAATTCCATTCTTGGTATTAGCAGTTACTGTTTTCATAGTCCAGTCTATAGCCAGTAAAAATAAGAGAGGCGACAAAAGACATCCCTGTCGCACACCTGTTTTTATTTCAAATGCATCTGTTAGCTTTCCCTCATGAAGAACTCGACATTTCATGTCTTTATATGTTGCCTTTACTAAGTTGATAATTTTCTGTGGGATTCCATAGTGCCCCATCAATTTCCAGAGAGATTCCCTATCTATGCTGTCAAATGCTTTTTCATAGTCTATAAATCCAATGTAAAGTGGTGAGTTCAGTTCAATGCTTTGCTCTATTATAATGCGTAATGTGGCTATATGATCAGTACAGGATCTGTTTGACCGAAAACCTGCCTGCTCATCTCTTAGCATTTTATCAGTAGCATCTTTTAATCTTTCCAAAATAATTCTACTTAATATTTTTCCAGGAACTGACAGAACATAATTCCTCTATAGTTTTCACACTCCTGTAGATCACCTTTTTTGGGCATTTTCACAAGATATCCTTCTCTCCAGTCTGCTGGTATTTCTTCGGTCTCCCAGACTTTACTGAAAATCTATGTAGCAATTCTGTTGATGTGTTTATGTTGGCCCTGATGGCTTCAGCTGGGATACCGTCTGGGCCTGTCGCCTTTCCTTCCTTGAGATTTATAGCTTTCCTAATTTCCTCTTTGGATGGTATCTCACAGTTGATATCCAGTTCCATTTCTAAAGGCTGGATATCTGGGGGAACCTCTGGGCCTGGTCTATTTAGAAGCATTTCAAAATATTCAACCCATCTGTCCATTTGATCTTTAGTGTTAGTAAGTACCTTTCCTTGACTGTTTTTTGATTGATCCAGTTGGCTGACTATATTTACCTACTAATTTTCTTGTGTTACTACTGTAAAGTTCTCTGAGGTTTCCTTTTGCTGCTGCTGTCTCTGCTTCTTGTGCTAGATCATTTAGATATTTCACTTTATCTGCCCTTATATGCCTCCTAACTTCCTTGTTGGCTTCTGTGTATTTCTCCTGAGCTCTAGCTTTAGCAGCTCTAGTTTTGCTATTGTTTAATTCTGCCTTTTTACTTTTCCTATCTTCAATCAGTTTAATGGTTTCTGGTGTTATCCATGCTTTATGTTTCCTTTCTTTCTTTCTTGCCAAGAACTTCTACGCAAGATTCATTCCAGATTCCTTTGATCTGATCCAAGCAGACTTCTGTGTTGACATCTTCAGCTAACTGCTGCAACACCTGGTACTTATTAGAGACCGTAACTGAGAACTGTTCCTTAATTTCTTTATCTCTGAGAAAGCCTACATTATATTGGTTTCTATGATTATAAGATGTTATATATCTTTTTAGTTTCAACTTGATTTTACTTACCACTAGGAAATGGTCAGTAAATACATCGGCACCTCTGAAAGCCCTAACATCGTAAAGGGATGATCTAAACTTTTTGTTAATACATATGTGGTCAATTTGATTAGTTTTTCTTATGGTCTGGTGATTCCCATGTTGCCTTGTGTATACTTTTATGGGAAAAAATACTTCCACCAATAACATACTGGTTACCTGCACAAAAATTTGTGAACAATTCTCCATTTTCATTCATTACTCCTAGACCATGTCTCCCCATAATTTCTTCATAACCTGTGTTGTCTGATCCTATCTTAGCATTCAAGTCACCCATCAAAATTTTTAAGTTGCCCTTTCTTTCATTATTTATAATATTTTGAAGCTGCATGTAAAATTCTTCCTTAACAGATGCATCTTTATCATTTGTTGGTGCATAACACTGTATTACCGAGATGTTCACCTTCTGTTTAACTGTTCGAAAAGATGCTCTTATTATTCTGGGACTCACAACTTCCCATTCTATTAGTGCCCTGTCTGCTTCTTTTGACAGCATCAGGGCCACTCCCTCACTGTGCGGCGAATTTTCCTGAGAATGTGTCCTGAGAACAAAATAGTTTCTCCTGAATTTAGAATACTTTTCCCTGCCCCAGTCCATCTAGTTTCACATAACCCTAAAATACTAATTCTATAATGTTTCATTTCCTTTGCTACTTCCATTGTTCTTCCTATATCATAGAGAGTTCTAACATTCCAGGTGCCAATTCTGGAGGTTTTCCTAGCTGAGAGGAGGTACGTCAACGATCCGGACTCCTTGCGGCTTTCTCCACACCGTGTCATACTTCTTCTATTTGAAGAGCCTTCTCTCATCTTGGTTGGCTGGATTTTATTTGCTTCTTTTTTTGACTTATCCATGGTTGGTTGGTTTTTGTGGCTATGGTTTTTACAGGATGAGGTAGCCAACCTCAAGCCCAACCCTACCCTTAGTCGCCTCTTACGACATGCCTGGTAGGGTGCAGTGTCACTATTCTTTGCTTCCCGTGAGGGCCCCGGTGACACACGGGCGTAAGTTTCCATAAACAGTATTAAAGGTCTCTAACGTGCTGAAGAAGAATGTGCCCATTTGTATGGTCATTAAAGTCCCAGACCTCCGGGCCGCTCCCTGATGGTCTCAGAGGTCACAGCCCGTGATGAGGGAGAAGCTGAAAAAATGGATGTGAAGTTAAGCAGTCATGTGCAGGACATGATGATTTCTTGGATGAGCCCAGGGCCAGAGCATCATGTGTCGGCTCTGCATCTATCGAAGCCTCCTTGGATGGTGGGAAATGCCCATGATCAGCCCCTTTCTTCCCTTAAGGGCCGACCAGTCTACACAAGGTTGCCCTAAATGGGTTCTCCAGGGGTGACATCTGTAGATAAAGGGACGGAGTGGACACCACACAAATTAGGCCACATCATGTCCTACGAAACCAAACGGGAAGGCTAATCCTGTGAATAAATGCTTGGTAAAGTTGGATGTGTCAGCCGAAAAGTGCAAATATGGCAGCTTTACTGTAAACAGGCAAATCACAATTACATGACTTGGACAAGTGACAAGAAAAAATCAAAGAAAATGCATTTATAACCCCTATGCTGCAGATGCTGACATGTTCCAAAGAGAAACACTTAGTCTTAAGAGAAAAATAAAAAAGGGGGTTGGGGGCACTAGGAGAGACTGAGCAATTATAAGTTTGCCCTGAATTCAGTGACACTGGCCATTCTTCATGATCTTTTCATATTTTGCCTTGTCCTAGGTTTGAATATTTTTGCCACTGCCAAAATTAACTGATCTTCATGCAACCAATTTGTCTAGGCTGCCGACATCTCCAAGTACCTTCGAGGATATATCAAAGCAGAAGAAAAGGACCGCTTGCACACCGTCAACCACTTTGAGCATGTCAAATATTCAGCACCAAGTGAAGCTGCACACATTCGTCCATTCATTGTCAACCATCTGCACCTCTCTGAGCAGAGGATTGATCAGGCTCTGGAGATGCTCAAACGGGACCCTGAGATAGAGGCTAAAGTCAGGCCTGAAATTGGTGAGATGTTGGGGGTTTTTCTAGAATATTTGATTCCTGGCTGGGTAGTTAAAAATATGTTGATGCCTTTCTTTTTTCAGGATGTTGCAAGCCAACCACAACATTAGTTCCTTTTTTAGGATTTTACTGGGGCACTTTTATGTTCAGCGGAAGTTGCACATTCAAAGAAACGGAGGAAGACTAGAAGGAACTGTATCGCTAATCCTACACTTACTTCGGCTTCATCACTCGTGATGGACGAACAACAACAGTTTGCCATTAAAAGGCATGCATCTTCCTTGTAGTAACATACAGATACGAGGTATAGACTGTCTAGCAATTAAGGAAGAAAATAGTAGCTTTTGAACTGAAATGCTTTTAAAATGTTCTTAGAATACCATTTACTAAGAAGAATAGAAATACTAATATTCTACGAGATCTGTACATTAAGGAAGATTGGCAAGTAAACAATATCTTTTCTCAAAAGCTGAAATATTTTGGCTGTATCAGATGCATGACAGATTTTAAAGAACAGTAGCAAACGGCATGAGCCAGGAAGGAGGGACAGGGACTTATTGGCACAGAGATGGGCACAAGACATATTGACACCTTGGGTAGGAAAGGGCACAAGGTGAGAGATCTGGTGAAAGACTGAGTTTCTTTTAAGCTGTGATGAGAGCGATGTCTGCAAAGGACCTGCTGCATGATGAGTTTGCCATTGCTTACTGACAATTGACACATTTAATATTATCAAAATAAATTCAAACCAGTCTGCTGCCAAACCACCTTCAGATGAATTAAATTCAAAATTATGAAACTTGTCTTCTCAACCTTTAAGCCACAGACACCAAATATATTATATGCTAATACCAGGGTGTCAGTAAAGTCTGGACACAAGCAAAAAAACATAGTTTCAAGAAATGAAATCTATAAAAAAAAATTTTTTTAATTGGAAAATTAAATGTCTTCAGTGTGATTTCCTATTTTGCTACGGAAAGTTGGGTGCCTATTGCAAAATTTGTGTGAACTTGATGTAATAAATCCAGATTTTCATCAGTTTTAGCACAAATTCGGTTTTTGTTATCTCTGTGTCCAGACTTTAGGGACACCCTGAATAGGAAAACAATATGAGTAATTTTCAAAGAATTTACCCAGCTATCATATTGTGATGTTCTCTCAAACATATCATCTGTTTTACCAGATGAGTTCATGAAGAGGTTTGATGTGATTGCCAACAGCATCCGAGACATTATTCTGTCCCAGCCCAAGGTTGACCAGCAGGTGGACTCCACAAGCCAACAACCAGGTGAGTGCTGTTTGCATCCTCCATTACCATAGGTGTCACTAATTTACAGCATTGTTAAAAATAGGCAGCCCTATAGCAGGTGATGTTGTTAAGAGTGAAGTGTTTCTGCCTTCACATATTCTAGACCAGCGGGTTTCAGTTAGCTAAACCCTGTGGACCTCTCTTACTCTACACGTCTGCTGTGGCCTCCATAAGGTTTTTTATTTTGTGGTATGTGTAAGTGATATCAGTGCTCTCTTCAAGTTGTTCTGCCGGCCCCCAAGGGTCTGCAGACCACTTAAGTGTTCTAGACCACTTTGAGGTGCGATGGTCAGTTTCCGTCTTAGCTTTCCCTGCTAGGTATTTCTTAGAACATTTCTGAATATCATCTAGTGCCCTATTTTTATGGAGCTGAGCCATCCACTTAGCCATACTTTTTTCCCCCTTCTTCTTCTTTGTCTTTTTCTCCTCCTCCTCCTTCTCCACCTTTCTATTGCTGCTGCTTCTTTTCAGCATTCCAAAACTATCTTGTGTACATGTTTTTTGTCACTCTGTTATCGGTCAGTCTGTCTGTATGCCCCAGCCATCCAGTCTATTTTCATTATTAAAAGATTTTTAAATACTCCTCATTACACACATAAAAAGTGTATAATGTATTTTAGAATAACCTAAGCTCTCATATTTTTTTGTTTTTGTTTTAAAATGTCTCCTAACATTGTCATCATGATCACACATTTTTTGTTTGTCCCTTTCTTTGTCTCCTTAACAAGCATGATATAAAATGTGACTGATTAGAGATTTGCTTACATTAGATACGTGGGACTAAAAGGTGCAGATATCACAGCCTGGCTGTAAACCACAGCATAACATGCTAATCACTCTTTTAAGGCTGAATACAGAAGTAAAAAAGAAGAGTAAGTTCTGAGACAAAGTGGACAAAGAATCACAAAACAGGCATTGATATGTGAAATGAAAGGTTTGAGGAAATGAGAAATTCCAAGAGAAACCACAACATAACTTGCATTTCTGGTGACGACTGTTGGCTTTGGCATCTTTGGCAACACCCTTATGCATTTACTGCTTGTGCATATATCTGGAATGTGCCAGGCCTAATTGTTGTTTTAACCAATTCTTCAAATGCAACAGCGAGGAGCATTTTGATTTGATTCTCACTGGCACAGGAACGGAGCATGTATGGGGGTGACCTGATTGCAGTGAAGTTGAAACCACTGCTACTACCACAGCCATCACCACCCACAAGAACAACCACAACCATTACCACCCACAAGAACAACCACAACCATCACCACCCACAAGAACAACCACAACCATTACCACCCACAAGAACAACCACAACCATCACCACCCACAAGAACAACCACAACCATTACCACCCACAAGAACAACCACAACCATCACCACCCACAAGAACAACCACAACCATCACCACCCACAAGAACAACCACAACCACCCACAAGAACAACCACAACCATCACCACCCACAAGAACAACCACAACCATCACCACCCACAAGAACAACCACAACCATTACCACCCACAAGAACAACCACAACCATCACCACCCACAAGAACAACCACAACCATTACCACACACAAGAACAACCACAACCATTACCACCCACAAGAACAACCACAACCACCCACAAGAACAACCACAACCATCACCACCCACAAGAACAACCACAACCATCACCACCCACAAGAACAACCACAACCATTACCACCCACAAGAACAACCACAACCATCACCACCCACAAGAACAACCACAACCATTACCACCCACAAGAACAACCATAACCATTACCACCCACAAGAACAACCACAACCATCACCACCCACAAGAACAACCACAACCATTACCACCCACAAGAACAACCACAACCATCACCATCCACAAGAACAACCACAACCATTACCACCCACAAGAACAACCACAACCATCACCACCCACAAAAAACAAAAACAACCATTACCACCCACAAGAACAACCACAACCATTACCACCCACAAGAACAACCACAACCATTACCACCCACAAGAACAACCACAACCATCACCACCCACAAGAACAACCACAACCATCATCACCCACAAGAACAACCACAACCATCACCACCCACAAGAACAACCACAACCATCACCACCCACAAGAACAACCACAACCATCACCACCCACAAGAACAACCACAACCATTACCACCCACAAGAACAACCACAACCATCACCACCCACAAGAACAACCACAACCATCACCACCCACAAGAACAACCACAACTATCACCACCCACAAGAACAACCACAACCATCACCACCCACAAGAACAACCACAACCATCACCACCCACAAGAACAACCACAACCATCAAACACATTTCTGCTGTTTTAATTAGCAAAATCTCTCCTCCCCAGGTGAAACCACCAATGCTATCAACACTGACAGCGTGAACAGCAGTGATGAAAGCATGGATGAGAGCAGCAATGATGAACTGGATCCCATCAGCCAAGAAGACCTGGATGATGATGAGGAGAACATTAGAGAGAATGAGCACAGTTATGAGAGGAAGAACAATTTTGTTGCCCTCCATATGCATGACACTCACCATGTGAAGCAGGTACAGTAGTTGATTATTGACATCCCCCGTGTGGGTTCTGGAGCCTTTTTATGGGTTCTGGAGCCCCATTGTGGGTTCAGGGGCTCCAATGTTGATTCAGGGTCTCCATTGTGGGCGAAGACAAGAATAGTCTACTGCCTCTCCCTCTAGGCTCTGGGGTTTAATTGGGGGGGGGGGGGCAAGAATAGACCTACTGCCTCCCCATGTGGGTTTCAAGACCCCATTAGACCCACTGCACAATGTAGAGTTGTCATTCTATTAGTCACATTGTAGAGTGTCGTTATTTCAGTCACACTGTAGAGTTCTTATTCTGTCAGTCACATTGTAGAGTTCTCATTCTGTCAGTCACATTGTAGAGTTGTTGTCATTCTGTCGGTCACATTGTAGAGTTCTCATTCTGTCAGTCACATTGTAGAGTTCTCATTCTGTAAGTCACATTGTAGAGTTCTCATTCTGTCAGTCACATTGTAGAGTTCTTATTCTGTCAGTCACATTGTAGAGTTGTTGTCATTCTGTCGGTCACATTGTAGAGTTCTCATTCTGTCAGTCATATTGTGGAGTTGTCATTCCATTAGTCACATTGTAGAGTTGTCATTCTATTAGTCACTTTGTAGAGTTCTCGTTATTTCAGTCACACTGTAGAGTTCTCATTCTGTCAGTCATATTGTAGAGTTGTTGTCATTCTGTCAGTCACATTGTAGAGTTGTTGTCATTCTGTCAGTCATATTGTAGAGTTGTTGTCATTCTGTCAGTCACATTGTAGAGTTTTTGTCATTCTGTTAGTCATATTGTAGAGTTGTCATTCTGTCAGTCACATTGTAGTTGTTGTTGTCATTCTGTCAGTCACATTGTAGAGTTGTTGTCATTCTGTCAGTCATATTGTAGAGTTGTTGTCATTCTGTCAGTCACATTGTAGAGTTGTTGTCATTCTGTCAATCACGCTTTAAAGTTGTAATAATTTTGCCGTTTACACTTTATATTTATAATTATTCTGTCATTCACCTTTCAGAGTTGCAGACATGCTGTCAGTCACACTTTTGAATTGTATACTATCTGTCAGCAATTTAAAATTGTAATCAAAAAACAGTCACACTGCAGAGTTGTAATCATATGCCTTGTAATTGAAATCAGACTGTCAACAGTTTAAAGGTGTAGTCATTCTGTCAGTGACACTTCAAAGTTGTAGTCATTCTGTCAGTGTCACTTCAAAATTTTAGTCAAGCTGTCATTGACACTTCAAAGTTGTAGTCATTTTGTCAGTGACACTTCAAAGTTGTAGTCATTTTGTCATTGACACTTCAAAGTTGTAGTCATTCTGTCAGTGACACTTCTAAGGTGTAGAGTTATTCTGTCAGTGACACTTCAAAGTTGTAGTCATTCTGTCAGTGACACTTAAAAAAAAACAACATTCTGTCATTGACATTTCAAAGTTGTAGTCATTTTGTCAGGGACACTTAAAAGTTGTAGTCATTCTTTCATTGACACTTCAAAGTTATAGTCATTCTGTCGGTGACACTTCAAAAGTGTAGTCATTCTGTCAGTCATACTTTTGAATTGTGATCATTTTATGTCACACTTTAGAGTTGTAATCATTATATCAGTCAGGCTTTGGAGCTGGATTTATATTGTCAGTCACACTTTATAATTGTAATCAAACTATCAACAGTTTAAAAAAAAAAGGTCAGTCTATCAATTTTAGAGTAATATTCTACAGTCACACTGTAGAATTGTAGTCGTTATAGTTGTGACACTTCTTGACTCAACTCAGCTCAACTCATTTTGTTGTATCTTGCCAAGTGCATTACAACAGAGTTACTTACAAGCCCGAAAACGAATCCCTTCGGATGAAAACTTATCTAGTTACACTGCACATCTCACAACAGGAAGTTCATGGTTACCATGGAAGTTTGACGTTTACCCCACATGCTGTTTTGATGTATTCTTTTATATCTGTTTCCCTTTAGGGCTTTGCTAGGTCAGCAGCCTCCAGCAGTCAAGTGGGAAGCACTGTGGGCATTGTCCTGGGCAGCGTCAGCGTCTTTGTCATCATAATTGTTGCCATAGTCATGTTACGTCGCAGCCAGTCAAAGCCGCCCGTGTCACATGGTTATGTTGAGGTGAGTAAAATAGAGGACTCTTTTCACACCATTTATGCCTTGAGGAGTGGCTGGCCGAATGGTCAAGAATGCTTGATTCTCTTGTTGGAGGGACCCAGGTTCGAAACCTCGGCAAGGTTGCAGATTTTTCTGTGAGGGGCAAAAATAATATCATAACCTGTAGAGTCTGTCGCGACAGCACTAGCTGTACTCCACTAATACTCAGGCTAAGAAACTGACTCACAGAGCATGTTGAGAAAGGTGGAGACAGGCGTGCTCCTTACAGAGTGGCAAGCATCACTTCAAAGGTCCTGGGTAGTTGGCATCCTTTGGATATTTTCTCCAGGGATGCCGGTGTGTTGGGAAATGAGCAGGCAGATAGAACTGGCCAAAAAAAACACCACTTAGTGGTGAAAAAAAACATGACAAAACTGGATGTTGTGAGCGCCTTGTGGGAGCGAGTAAACAGTGCCAAAGCACAGATAGATCATTACGGTCTAAGGAGAATGGCACTGCGAGGAGTTTTTTTTTGGCAGATGCCGTGGACATATTTCTGTTGACAGGTCAGACCTCAAACAAAACCAAAAACAAAAACATGCGGTCAAAAAAAAAATCAGGCTGGGCACTTTTGCCTCCCAGGACAAAAAAAAAAACCCATTTTTGCACAAAAGACCAAAAACAAAAAAACCAAAAGGCCACCTCCGAGTATATAGATACTAAAAGGTGCCATTATCACAGCTATGCTGAAACAGGCACAACACAATTACGGCACTCAGAGGAACAAGGAGAATAAAGAAAAAAAGAAAAAAAAAAAATGCAAAAGATAATTTTTATAAAAAAAAAAAATTTAGTCAGAGCTTTGCCAAACAACTTTAAAAATCTAGAACATTTCCTGGTATCCTTTTGTGGGTTGATCTGGCATCTTTTATGAGCAAGTGGGATTGAGTGGTATAGAATCACTCATGTAAACTTAGATCAAAACTAATCTATCATTAGCCATCATCTTGAGCCCTAGCTGAAGAAGAAAGGTTAACTAACTGCTGAATGGCATGAAAAAGCACAGCTGAATTTATGCTTATAATGGCGTTGGGGATACGTTTATTTTCCTATCATAAGAAACGAGCGCAGCGGATTGGAAGGTCATGGGTTCGCTCCATGGCGGAGCCAGACTTTTCTTCAAAAATGACCTTGACTCCTAGGTCGACCCAGCCTCGAGTGGGTACCGGGTGCAGCTCGAGGAAGTAAGAGGCGGCCGGCGTGATGCTGACCACATTACCCATCTTGTGTTGTTGGTCTATAAAATATAGGTCTAGCCCTGTATGCCCTATACGCTTGAAGGCGGGGGAAAGGGTCCTTTACTTTACTACATAAGAAACTTTTAGGACACCCTAAAGATCTCTTTCATGAAAACACACAAGAGTACATTTAAATCTGTCCAGGTTGACCCTTCAGCTTCACCAGAGGAAAGGCATGTTGTGAACATGCAGATGAATGGGTACGAGAATCCCACCTACAAGTACTTTGAGGTATAATGCTGTTTGTGTTTTAATTGTTTTTATTATTTTGAAGTGGTGGGGCGGGTTGAGATAGAGAGAAGAAAGAGAGAGAGGAGAGGGAGAGAGAGAGAGAGAGAAAACGAACGAACTTTTTTTTCACAAATTGGGCATGCAGACCCGTCTTACATTCGGCCTTCCAAACGCCCATCTTTCACACTGCAGCTGTATTTTATCAATAAGCATGTTATATTCATATGATAATATATATTATGAATATCAAAAAAGAGGGGAAAAAAAAAGCACAAAAGCATAAGTGGTAAAATGCATGCACACACACACACCCAGCCACCCACCCACACACCCACTCACTCTTAAACACACCCACCCACTCACTTAAACACACCCACATACCTTCACACACACACATAAACACACCCCATTCACCCACATACATACCTACATACCAACACAGACACGCACATTCCACACACATACAAACATACAGATATACACACACAGACACACTCATAGAAACAAATGCAGACACACATACAAACAGACATACGCGCACATACCCAGTCACACACACAGATACACAAACACACACATGCGACACACATACACAAACCGGCACACACACACACACACAGACACATATGCACAAACACACAGAGACAAACACACACAGATACACTCGGAGACACACACACACAATCGCAGACACACACACATACGCTGATGCTCATGCAGACACATACACACACACGCAGAAGCCTACGCAGGCATTCATACACACAGGCACATGCACAGATACAAACACCCACAGACACACAAACACATACGCAGACATACATATACACAGACAAACACACACAGACATACACACAGACATATACTCACAGAGACATACACAGATATATATACACAGAGACGCGCATATACACACGCATTCACGCAGACACACATACACACACAGGCACATACAAAGACCACACACAAACACAACAAAGACACACACATACAAACACACATGCAGGCAAACACACAGCTACATACACGTAGAACTCACATACGTGCAAACACACACATACACACAAACAAACAAACATACATAGATACACACCCACAGACTCACAGTACAAAAATCCTTACACACAGATGCACGTATACACAGGCATTCACGCCAACACACATATACACACAGGCACATACTAACACACACACACATACAAACACAACAAAGACACATAGAACACACATGCACAAACACACACATACATAGATACACACCCACAGACACCCATTACTAATACACGCAGACACCAAGATACACACAAGCAAACACACACAGACACATACACAGAGACGCACAAGCAAATGCACAGGCAGTCATACACATGTAGACACACTCGCATACATACACACAAACACAGACAATCGCTCACAGAAAATCGCTCACAGACATATACACACAGACACATACACACACGGACATACATAAGACACGCATGCAGACACTCACACACACACAAACATAACGAAGCGCACACACACACAAACACACACGCATACACACACAGACACGTAGACACAGACACGCCTCCACAGAGACATAATCACACACAATCTCACAGACACGCACACACACATGTAGACATACAGGCGCACTTATACAATTACCAATACACACACACTCATACATACACAATCACGCCTACACATACACATACATACCACACATTTACATGCTGCATATACATACATATCATATACATCTTTTTAAATTATAAATTGATAATGCAAAAAGGAGAGAGAGAGAGAGAGAGAACGAACAAATGAACTTTTCAAAGGGTTACAAATTAGGCACGCAGGCCTGTCTTACATTTGGCCCTTCCAAGCTCCCATCTTTCACACAGCAGTTGTATTTAATTAATAAAGCATGTTATGTTCATGTAATAATATGCATATTATAAATATCAAGTCAAAAACAAAAGCATGGGTGGTAAAATATGTGCGCATGCTCGCGCGGGAACACAGACACCCACATACATACGCAAACCCATTCACTCACACAACACACATAGGCACCCAATACACACATTCATCCACATACATATGAACATGCACATACATACATACATACATACACACACACATACATACACATACATACATACATACATACATACATACATACATACATACATACACACACACACACACACACACACACAGTCAGGGGCAAAACATTAGAAAATTGGGATAGCCACGTGCCGAGGCCTGAGTCCAAACATAGAAAGATCATTAATACAATACAGCTGACAGTGAATTATCAGCGAGCCACTTGCCAGGCCTCCGTGGGCTTCCTTTTTAAAATAGCCCTGGCATATAATATTACGTCAATAATATCTACATTTTTTTGTTTTTTTTTTCCTCCCATCTTTAGGTACAGAGCAACCCAAAAGCCTAGACAAGAAGTATCATCCATCTATCCATCCACTTAGTAACCAGCAGACTTATAATATTTGGAAATGCTTCAACTACCATTTTTTTAAAAGCTACCTTTTCTGATATGAGCTGTAGCAAAACTTGATCCACGATGTCAGATTTAAACTGCCCCAAATTATCAAGCCATTCTATTGGTGATAACCATATCTAGTACTGTCATTTAGAGGTTTTGAACGTGGTTTAACAGTCCTGCATACCAGAGTTTGATGCAGCTGCAGGTGATTTGGCTGCAGACCACTTTGCACTGGTTTTGACAGTGGTATGAGTCTTGAGCGTTCGAAGTGCAATGACAAACTGCTGATCATAACATGGCCTAGTAAAACCGCAAACGACCCAGCTAACGCTGAGTATGGTTTGCAAGATCATGAAGCTGCCTTCTTCAAGGGTTTTATAACTGCAGACTCAGAAAATGTGAGAAATCTTTGGCAGATTGTCTGAGGGGTAATGACAAGGGGGAAACAACCGAATATGGATGAAATGAAAGAAATGTTGTGCAGTCTCTTCATGAAGGTTGCATCCCCTACAGTCTATATTATCATTTATTCTCTTATTGGCTCAGTACTGTAGTGCCTGACTCCTGTTTTCGCTACTTGAGTGGGGGGAATTTTTGCCGGACTGCCAGGAAATATCTATAGACCACCACAGGACCACTATCCACATTTAAGAACTTATCTGTAAATCAGTGGTTTTCAACCTATTTCGGATGGGGGGAACCCTCCTTGAATATATGATAAGCGACACCCTCTCTCTACCAGCTTTAAAAAAACAAATGTGGTTAAAAAGAAGAAGACAGAAGGAAACATCCCAAGCACTAGAAACGAGAATATTGGAGAAAATACCCACATAAATCAGTGTCAAATAACATAAACGATCAACTAGTAATTTAGTGTCCAAATATCATTGTGATGGTTGACACTGTTGTATCTTGATGACGTCTGCTATCATTGCCTAGATGCACAATGAAGATCACTCTCCCCATCATGCAGGCAGTGCTGTTTTGTTTTCATGACTGTTAAATTTTGGTGTATAATTAAACTGAGGAAACAAGTTTGTATAACAAATTATTACAAGTACAGATGCGCTTGATTTCAAAATTACGTGATGCCCTCTTCAAACTTCCTTGTATCCCCCCTTAGGTTGAAAATCACTATTGTAGAGGATATGCAACTAACTTTGTGTATTATGCACTTGGACTTTTCTTGGGATCTTTTTATACTTCTCTATTCTCTGAAGTGTGTCTTGCCAGTCATCTTTTTTTTTTTTCACATGTAGCATTTTCTTTGAATCATTTAAAAAAAAATGATGATATTTAAAGTAGTAATTGTGAGATTTTGTAATATGTAGTAAATACAGACGCGTGTTTCTTTATATGTGAATTATGTATTAGTATGAACATTGCTGATTTACAAATTATTTTTTTTAAATAATGATATTAATGCCCGCCTCCATCAAATTTTTCAGACTAAACAGAAAAAATTTATGGATGAAAACCGGCAAAAGTCAGTAGAAATTTAACTGAATGTAGGAAGATATGGTCATCATCAGACACACAAGTGAAATACAGAAAGTGGATGGAAACACCAGTAAAAGTCGTGGAGGAAACAGATTATGGAATGAAAAATCATTTGTAACAGGAGAAGAGGAAATAGGAATATAAAGGAGGGAAATGTTTCTATCTATAATAATAATGATCACTGGGCACATACAAGATACTTAGGGAAACATAACTTTTTTATTTTGTTTAAATCTTAGTGCAAACAAGTGTACAAAATATTGAGTTTTACAATGGTTGTAAATGTCAGTTCACCTATTTATGTATTTTTTTTGGGCATTGAGAAGAAATATATTCTCCCTTGCCAGTTTTTTTTTTTTCATGTGCAGTTTGCTGAAAGTGTGTGTATACTTTTATGGTATTTGTCTACAACATTGGAATTTGACAGGCAAATCACTGTTGTCTGTTAGTTTCCCTTTAGATGTATGTTATGCCAGTTCATGAGTTGTTGGTTTTTACTGCCATCATTTTTTTTTCTGTTTAAATTTCATGTATATTATTTTATCTGCATATGATGTGCTTATTGCTACTCATCTTAAATTTTTAGTTTATTTGGGGGTAAAAAAATTGTTTTTGATGTTTTTATTTAAAGTTTGTTCGTTCATTTTTTTCCTGCCTCAGTTTAATTTTAGACTAGGAAGGTTAGTTGGTGTTGTTTTCAACTATTGGGAAATGATCACATCTAGAATCACATTTTTTTTAATCAATGGTTGCTTTCTATCATCACTTTACATTATTATTTTATACAGCAGTTTTATTTGGACATACAGATATGGGTCCATGGGAGAGCAAGTTTACCGTGGGATAGGTACTTCAAGACAAAGGATGGAGTAGCAGCATGATCTACTACAACACAGCTGAAAAGGAAACTAGGGATAGTCTTGTTTAAGCTACCAGCTGTTTTACAGCTGACCTGCAGCAGACCTCCCGAGGGAGACACTAGTGACAACGAAAGTCTTGTACAGGCTACCAGTTG